GATTGTTATAAAGCTCAATGATGTAATTTAAATCAATTCTTGCTAAATGAAGAAATTTTTCTTTGATGAAATATTCTAATTGATTTTTTATTTTTCAACCAGAATTAGAGCCATTTAGAATCCGCTACGTGTTGAAAAGAATCGAATTAAATACAAAAAAAAGTTTAAACATTCGATTTACGCTGGATGCCGAAGTAACGTGCGATTTTTCTTCTGTATGTTCAATTTCCGGTGCTCCATGAATGGTTTTGTGTTGCGTTTTCAAAACAGTAACAAAGATGGACAGCAATAAAATTAACAAACAATCGCAAAAAGGTTTTTTATTTCATTTCAAAAATTCACGATTCTCATGTGTGTGAGAAGGAACAGCTATCAAGATGGGCATCGCTTGTAAGTTATGAAAAGAAATCGAAAAGAATTTTGCAAGGAAACGGAAAAAGTATCAAGTGTCAGGGGCTAAATTGATGCTTAATTGTATCATCAAGGAAATGAAAGAGAAAAGATCTTTTTTTTCGTACCTTTTTCTGCTACCTATCAACGGATATAGATTTTATTTCAATTTTATGTGAAAAAGGAAGTTTGCGTTCCGCATAGAACAGAAAATTAAATTATTTTAAGTGATCTCAGGGATGGGAATGAACAGTCTCAAATGTTTAATTTTTCATGGATATTTCAAACTTGTTTGATGAACAATTGAATGGAGTTTTTCAACACTTAATTATCTATTATTAGTTTTGGGGCTTCTTTTTTTTGAGGCATGAGGATTCAATAATAAAAAATATCTTATTAAGTTCTAATTAGATTTAGGATTAATATGATTGGAACTTGGCATTTTAAGTTTTAATTTTGAGGTGATCGAACTCTTTGATCTTTGAACATCCTGCTTGATTTTTTTTTATGAGCTATTAATTCGATCGGAATTAGTGACTTGAGTTATTGATTCTTGGACATATGAACTTTTATTTCTTTTAATGGTTGTTCTTTTCTAGGATGACTTTTGGTTTTTTTCTTTTGGTAGAACAAAACAGGAGATTTTGGTTTTATTTATTTGAATTTTTTGAAGCATGTAAGGCAGATTGGACCCGTTTAAATCTTCCTCTACTCTTTATCGCAGAAAGTTCTAGGAGGTCATTGCTTTATTGACAAAATAATTTGTTTACAGTAAATTCAGGGCTACTTCATGTCCTAAAGTAATTTGTGTACATTGGAATTGAAGATTCATCGAGATTCACTAATCACTGAGATTCACTATTTAAGAATCAAACCTTTTCAGATTCTCAGTTTTTTGAAATAAATAGTCCAGACACTTACTTGTTACTTGTCATTTTTGATTTTTAATTCAATTGATTACAACATCGAACAAAATGGAGCAAAATTCACCACTTAAGAGGAAAACAATCTGCGAAATTCTTCGAAACGGGAAGTTAACTCTGACATAACAATTAGAGTTATGCTACAGCACCATCGAAAGAAGCTACGGAAAAACTTTGAAGGAAGCTAAAAAGACTAGCTTGAAGTATAAGTTGTGTAATCTTAAGTGTAAAACCAAGAAGAAATACAAGGAGAGCCACAAAAGATGGAGCCACACATTGAGGGATCACAAGGAGTTCTTCGAACGTGAGTTTGGACTTGCTGATGTTTACTTCGAGGATTAGAATTAAGGTTAAGGAGAACGAAAGAAGGTTAAGAGTTTTAGGTTTAATAGAGTTAAGTTGATTTAATGTAGGGAATAATTTTTAAAAAATGAATAAATCATTCATCTAATCAATAGTCTCTTGATTCCATTTTTATGTATGTAGTTATTGTTCTCAATTCTTTCAAATTTCAGTTTAATTATTTTTTATGTCAATCAGCCTTTAAATAATCTCAGTATTAAAATTTGGAGAAATAATAGTAACTTAATTAAATTAATCAACTCACTATCCCAACCATATCATAACTCATTCAAAAAATATGTCAATAAGACGACTCAAAAAAATTCGCAAAACCTTCACATGAATCATTTTAGTCAGAGTTTGGAAAATTTACAACAAAAGCCTTGAGTCCAACTTGATATTAACTATCAACTTGAAATTTACATATTTCACTCAAGTTTGTCGTTTGACATAAAACGAGACATCTTCGATTACGGACCGAAAAAAAAATAAATATTTATGTGACGGGCTGAAAAAAAGGAAAACTTCAATGCATGAATATGCAAGAAACCCTCATAAAGTAATTAATAAGCGATGAATCCTTTTGACAATAAAATATTACGTAAAATTTGTGCATGGCTTATAAAACCCTTTGAGTCGTCAGTAGGAAAATATGCAAATTTGTGGGAGGATCGTCGCTTAAAGATATCCTTTCTGTAAAATGCCTCATTACGTAACATTCCTGTTTGACAATGACAAAAGAGAAAATTTACAGTCAATTTTATGGCTGTTGTTGTAACAGTAATAAAATCCTTTTCTTCTTGGGCGTTGCTCAGCATGCTAAAAAAATCCTTTTTTGCCATTACATTTTTATGAACGAAACGATCGGTGCAAATGCCGACCAGGCAAAGAAAAAAAAGTTTGCAGCATGCAAGCAATTTTTATGTAAATTAGTTATGTCTCAGGCCTGTGTGCAAAAGTAGCCTTCTTGCTTGCATCTTTTACGATTCCTTTACACATTTTTTTTATTATTTATATCTTCTTATAATATAATAAAAGAAAAGAATAAAAACAACAGCATCAAAAAAATATAAAGGAGAGGAGATGCATGTTGCAATTTATTTAGCCTCAAAACGCATCATCATTTTTATTTTATTTGATGCAAAAAGTGCAGTTTAAAGAATGGTAAAATAAAAAAAAAATAAACGGAATCTTTTAGTTGTGTTTTTTTTTTGGTATTATATCTTTTGACATTCCATTCCGAATGGTGCAGTGGAACAATAATGATGATGAAAACGAGTTTCAAGAGAGCCTGGAATCAGGTTTATTTATTTCAATAAACAATCCAGTTTCATGCCGTCTTCCCTCAATTCTTTCTTTTCTTTTCTTATTATAAGTATTTAGTGCTTTCGCATTCTCCTTCGCTGCTATGTAAACTTACTTATGTATATTCTTTCTCTTCCCCATTTGACCGACCGTATTCTTTATTATTATTTTTATTTTGTGTAGAGTGGCTTTGAATCTTATTCGTTATCTCCACACTCCGTTCGGCTTCTTCTTGCTCTTATTTTCTGTTACTTTCAAATTCGCTTTTCTTAGGCCGTTTTATCCCTTTTTCACTTTAATTCACTGTTTCAAGGTTAACAGATATACATATAACGTCTCTTTCTTACCTTAATTCTTTCATCTTACTGTTCTTTTTTTTCCTCTCTCGTTGCTTGTTGAATCCTACGAGCGAAATTGCGTTCAAGGTTTATTATTTCTTTATTCCTCTCCTTTTTTGCTGCCTTTGTTGCTCGACAACTTCTTCGTTTTCGTACTTTCATGGAAAAGTATGATTATTTAAGATCTCTGAGATCCTATGAGCACTATTAATTATTATTATCATTATTTCATTCTGCTTGTGTGAGCAAATTATTGCAATTAGTTGGGATAGGATGCAGCGTCTTGAGCTTGTGTTTTTCTTTTATTTTGTGTATGAAAATTACAAAATTGAATTGTGTCTTATGTAAGGATGTAATGGATATTGGATGATAGTTGGAGGTTTTCACTTTGGAATTATGCTGATTTTTTTTTGCTTGATTTATGCCAATTTTTGAGGAATTACTTGGGAATTACAGCATTTTTATTGTCAATATTTTGGAGAAATTTCATCTGTGGAATAGCAATTAAAGTATAAAGCTAAAAGTGATCACTTTCTCAGCTACGAACTTAGGTTCCATCTTCTTACGATGTCCATGATGAGTGTAGAGGAGGGGTTGATTGGGTATGAAAGAAAATAGTAGAGATTTATTATCTTTTTTTGTTGAACAATTACCGTTCTTAGAACGATCCCGAATAGCAGTCGGTTAATTGATCAAAAATCTGACCCAAAACCGGCATGACTCTATCATGAAGCCGAATTCAAATCAAATCTAGTGACATGCTTGGTGTCGGATTTCTGATCAATTAACCGGCTTGTGCTATTCGGGGGTAATTTACATAATAAAATCAGGATTAGTCCCCAAAAAAATCATCACTTCCTGACATGTTTATTTAATCTTTTAAAAACCTCCCAACAATTTATTATTAACTATACTTCAGAGTGTATTGCCTTGATAAGACCACACAATTTCGCATTACTTCCACTCATTCATTTTAAATTGGCAACTTGTTTACTCAGAAAATAAAGAATCTCAAAATATTAGTTCCGAAAAAAATTAAACAATCGGAAAGATTCAATTGTCAAATCCAAAGCTTCTGATTATTTCACAAAAAATATAAATCTTCAGAATTTCTTTTCCATTTCTCCAGAAACTCAAACCTTTCCCGAAATCGGATCTCTTCAAAAAACTCAAGCAATATCATCGTTAATTACATCTTATTCCCTGAGCCATTAAGGAACAAAAATCGAGCCCTCATAAAAAGCCAAATTTCACATCATTCAAATTTTTAATTTCATCGATCGCCTCAAATTGATATTGATTTATTGACGAAAGTTTAATAAAAAAAAATGAAAAAGAGTTTTTTTTAATTCCACATTGTGCTGAAAAGAATTTTTTCCATCATGATGTTCCGAGGTATAATTTTCTTTCGTCTTACGTGTTGTGTAAAAAGATCTTCAAAGTATCCGCATGAATTTTGTGGGTGGGTCTATAATTAGTGAATTTTTTGCCAGGTCAAATTTGCAATGTTCATACATAAAATAAACAAATTGATAAAAAATAAAAGAAATTGAGCATTAAAATTCTACCTAGTAAGTATCACCGATCATTCACAATTTTCAGGTGAACACTATGCACTAATACATGTTCACAGCAAATAGCAACACGAAGAATCGGAAAAAAAATTTTTCGTTCAGTTGAGTTTCTGCTTTTATCGAGTTAAGTCGCATTTTCTAAGTTCGCTTGCTAATTTGTAAGAACATTTTCAAGGAAAAGAAAAGTTTTTTGAATTAAGAAAAATATAAAAAAAATAAAGATTTCTAGATCGTATAAGGACTGACTATAAGTGAAACATTAAGTGAAAAAAAAATATTATTTTAAAAAATTCTAGAAATAAAGCAGAGAAAAAAAGATGAAAGAAATTTATAAGGCATAGAAAGAAAGATTGTGTAATAGTTCAAGTGCTCAAGTGAATCACACAAAAAAAAATAAAATAAATTGTTATTTATGGAATAAAAAAAAAAGAGAATCAAACATAAAAAATGCCGAAAATATTTTTGATCAAGGATCGCTTGCATCAGCAGCAACTTCGCTTACAAGAATCACAAAATTTGATTCAATCAAAAAGTTCTGAATTAAATATCGAAGAAAATAATTCACAGCAGAGAGTTGGTGACAAAGAGCCTCTCTCACTTGTCTCAAAGAAACGGATTAACGACCAACATTCAGCCAACGACTTGAGGAGAAATGATTCTGGTGAGTGAATAACAAACAGAAAAAAAATAAAAATTTAAATTTATGTCACAACTTTATTTTGTTTTTTTTTTATCGGAATCGCAATCAATATGTGCATAACATTCAAACGCTCGTTCCATTTTTTTTCTTCTTTCTTACTCAAATCGAGCACGCAGCAATTTTTTTTAGAAGTTAAATTTGCATGAACTCAATTTTTTCCTCGTCTCCTTTTCATCTCCAAATTTTCTTTCTTATAATTTGCGCAATCTTGCTTCAAGCATATACAGCAAGAGAGAGAAACGATTATATTCTTACTGACCGAGACAAACGGTCCTCAAAAGAACAACAAAAAAAAAGAGAATCTTGCCAAACATTCACCTGCAAATACAATAGATGATAAATTTCTTACCTGAGCACTAAGAATGATGATCTATAAGCAATAGGGGGAAATAGAACAAAATAAATATTTTTTTCTCCCACGATCCTTTCCTTTGCGATATTCTTTATATTCAAATAAAAGATGAAGGAATCAAAAAGGGATGGTTTCTGATTTCTTTCATGCCTCTCACGCATCGAGGTGCTTTTATATCATAAATGAAACATATGCTGTTGCTTCCTTCTCATACTCATATTAGGAACTCTGATTTTACACTTTTTTTTATGTCTGTAAATGTATTAAACACATGTTGAATTGTGTATAGAATTGTAATAGGGAGAATAAAGGTATGCTTCACGGTTCCATGATCACTTCTTTCCCAAAAAAAAACATTATTTTATGTTATTTCTTCATTTTACCTGTTTCCCGTTCTGAATTAATAAATATGAAAATTTCTTGGTTCTTATGTGAAAGGGGACAATAAATGTGACACAGTGAACAAGTTTTTCTAATAATTTTTCGGGTACTTTGTAATTTGGTTAACAGGTTGACAAATCAAGTGCACGATGAACACTTGTCTATTCTTTCGGTTTTTTGAAGTCAATAATAATTAAAAATTGAGAGAATATTTTTTTTTGGATTTTCGGTTATGTTGTGGAATTCTTTCGGTCAATTGGATGTGAATGAATTTTTTATGGAATGTTTCTGGTATGCAGTTATTGAATTTGGGACTTTTATTTTTATAATACCGACAATATTCTTCGCTATTGAATATTAAAATTCAAAAGTATCCAAAATCTCCAGCAGCAGCCTAGTAGCTCCCAAATGAGACCCCTAATCAATCCTCAATCATCCAATTTACTCTCACAATCCGTCTCAATGCTATTTCAACACACAGCAAGACATAGCGAAACTCATGTGCATGAGCATGTTAATATCGCGGCTATTTCATAATGATGGGAAGTGTAATCTCATGAATGCAACTTATTTAATGTCGATTTTCAACATCCTTTCATTCAATATTCTCTGTTAATGTTGTCAGACATTCGATAGCATAACAAAGTCACGCGAGTGCATTTTATGAACCTAGGATAACAATGGAAGTAAGACGAAATTATCGGTTACTTTATTCCACATAATTTTTTTTCTCTTCTTTTTCTTCCATTTACTTTTTTTCTTATTCAGATCGTTCATTCTTAATGCAGTGAATAATTTAAATTAATTTTTTTTTTGTATATTCTGTCAAGATTGTCTGTCGCACAATCATGTCTTTTGTGTACCTTGTTGCCCCTGACCTAAAAGCATGCTTATACATGTGCAAACTTATTATTGAAAACCGTTTAATAATGATATTAATAAATTGATATACATAATATCTATTTGGTTATGTTCAATAGCACACATGCTGATTGGTTGACTGATTGGCTGGCGAAAAAAAATGCCCATTATATTGCACATTCATTACTTACTTAACAGTTGTTTACATCGCGCCTCTATAAATGTATGAGATTTACATTCGTGCCAAGACCAAGGCTAACAGACCTTTAAAAAATGCGGCGAATTGAGCATTTATTGTGTCTGCTCGATGCATTTATGCATCTGATGTATGTTATTAATTGTTTTATGGAATTTATTTTCCCTTGAAAGTTGAGTCTCATTGTTCGGTTTTGGCTTGATGGTTGTCGTGAAGAATTGCAGAGAGATTGGCGATGGTTATGGTTATGGATATAAACTGTTGAGGGTTATGTAAAGGGCTTGATTTATGTGAGGATGAATTTTATGATTGATTGTGGATTTATGAAAGGTTTTTGATGATGAATTTATGAATTTTAAATTTTGGGAAGTTAGAACTAAATTTTATGCCATTCTTGAAATTCCAAAAATCTTTAAGAACTTACAAAACTTAACGAAACCAAGTAGAAGTCTCATAAAGTTCTAAAATAGCTATTGATATTGCATCTGTCATTAATCAGGTTTAAAAATAAAAGTTTAGAGACTGTCAGCACATTAAGCAGGTTATCATGCACTTTGATAAATAGTAAAGCATGATGATGTGACGGGTCCTTTGTATAATGTCAAGCAATGATGCAATTATTGAATCCAATTCTATTTTTATTAAAACTTCTTGGAAATGAAAAAGAAATATTTTTTGACATTTACTATTGAGTTAATGTCTTTTAAAACTTAGCTCTTTATAGAATTGTCTCCAAAAACATAGTTTTGTTTGAAACAAATGCATTGATAAATTTTTATTTAAAAAATATGGAATAAAATTAGTTTATAATTCATTTATAATTCTAATCAGTGTTGTTTGTGATTGTATTTAAGTTCTACAAATATTATGTGAGCCATAAGACGTTTTATAGATTTTGTATTTCAATTGTTGATTATAACTGTTTGAATTCTAAAAATCTAAAATTATTTGAATTTAATTATCAAAACTGTTAAAAATCTTAAAAGTGAAAAAATATTTTTTTTTTAAATTTAAGAATTTTATTAAGTTTAAAAAAGTTGAATATAAATATTTTAAATCTCTTAAAATTTTTAAAGATTTAATTTTTGAATTTTGAATTTTCTAAACTTTTGAAAATTTCAAAAAAATAAGTTTCAAGTTTTAATATTTCAATTTCATAAAGTTTTGAAAATTTGAAAAAAAATAAAATTCAATTTTAAAAAAATTTGACTCATTAGTTTTGAAAATTTTAATAAACTTAAGTTTCAAGTTCACGCACATTTTTACCTTAAATCAACAAAAACTCTACAAACTTTCAAATCTTAAACTCAGCATTTAAATTTTTTTCTTCTTCACCATTCACAATACACATAATTGCACATAAGAACATAGAAAAACAGAATAAAAAAATCTTTTCAAAAAAGAGATAAGATTTCACGATTAGTCAAGTTCTTTCCTCTATTGTTTTCCCATTCATAAAAGAATGAAAAATATTGCTATTATTATGAGAATTTTCACAAGTCAAATGAGCATCAAAAGGTAGATGCGAGTAATTAAAATCCATTTTTAAATAATAATAAAAAAATCTTCTTCTTTCCTGGATGAAGCTCTATCACTGCTATTAATTCCACACACATAATACAATGATTTTAATGTTAAATGAGTCTAGAATTTGTGTTTATTCTTTGCAATCAAATAAGAATCACCTTGAAGACATGCCATACGTATATATTGTAATAGTAGCACAAGAATATTATGCTGGAATTATTATTATTATTTTGTCATGTCTTATGTAAGACAAAGTAGTCGTTGTGCATATGTACATATACTGTTGATAGTTGAAGGCAACAAATAAAGAGAATATAGATAGAATTAAAGTCAAGAACAGAGGGTAATTTATATTCAATTGAAGTAAAAAAAGCTGAACAAAAATTCTGAGACTGAGAATAAATTTTTTTGCGTGCTGCTTTGTACAGCAGTAAAGAGTGCTTGCATGATCATTTTGATTTGCTGCTCTGCTGGGTAGGAAATGTGTGGTTTGGAGTTAGAAGCGTGGTGGATTTGACTGAGAATCTTTATTTTATGACATTTATTGATGCGTATTGAGATGGGGATTGAATAATGGGTTAGTAAAGGCTTTAAGTCACTCAAAATTGAGGGTTTTAAATCGAATTGAAGTTCCTGGATCTACAATTATAAACATCAACTCAGAATCACCACTCTATAGCTCTAGCACACCCGCATCATACCGAGGATAGACATCACATACACATGCTCCCCCTCCTAAGAAAGTAATTTAAACAAGAATAACTCCGAAGCTTCAAGTTTTTATCTAATGAGTCATTAGTTATGACCCAGATTTTTTTAATTTCTCGGTATAATGAGATGTTTCAGGTTGACTGGCTATTGAACGCTCATATGAATTTTAAATTCAATGTTTCATCTAAAAACTATTTACAATTTATTCAAGACATCCAAAGATTCAGCAATTTAACCCCCAAAAAATGCGCTAGAACTAACCCTTCACTCACATCCTACAAGCTTTAATACTAAAATTTTATATAAGTTTTAAAAACGCTTTATTTTAGAATTGAGGGATTGAAATACATGATGTCTATTTTTGTGCTGTGTATACTGGTAGAAACCGCGATTCCCACCGCAAGAAACATACAAAAAATAAAGCCAACAATTGAAAAGAATTGTTCTTCATTCTCTAAGCTTCAAAAATCGCTTTAAATCTCTTTAGAAAATTACATTCGATACACAACAAGCTGGATTTGAAAGAATATAAAAATGGAAGAAGTTGAAGAAAAAAAAATCGTTACTTCTTGAGAATAGACAAAAAAAAATATAAATATAATAGCTGAAAAGACGCTGTGAGATGGAAGAGGAAAAAAAAGCAAAATGGCTCGTTTTGAGTTCATTCAACTTGCCAACTTGATATCGGTCTTGAGTCTTTTTTTTTCTTCTTCGTCTCTCTCTCATTCGTGTATCTATAGCTATGGTGCTTTTTTTTCTATTTCTAAAAAAAATATATAATATAACGAATACGAGTGTGGACAATTGAAGAACTAATTCGCAAACACTTTGAATAATGGACATAACATCAATTTGAAAAAATATTATAATCATACTGATGCCATACCACACAACAATTCAACCGCCATAATGGGTCGCAAAAATAATATACTG